ATCCCAGATTCCAAAATATGGAGATAAACAGCATGATCTATATGGCATTTCCTATGCACGCTCAGTTTTCCTGTGAAGGCAATACAAGTAGAAGGAGAAACATTCCTGGGAGCAGCCAATTATTACAATTACCCTACAGATAAAAATGAATTAACATTTTAACAGCGATGCTGTCATTCCACCCAAAGGACTTCCTGTATGCCAGCCTGGTTGAGCTGGGCAATGGAACATTCCTGAAAGCCAAAAATGCAGCAAGTAGGAAAATCTGGATCATTTTCTTTGACTTGGTCAGTCTCCTCTGAATATCATCAAGCACGAGAATGGTGCAGGACAACATATCAACTGAAACACATGTAGGAGCAGAATTTGCTTTCTATAGTTTTGAAATTGGGCATTCTCCAAACAATTTTTGGGCATTCTCCAAACATTTTCCTGATCAAGAAAATCCAAACACTTTACCTTCTTTGCTAAGTTTTTCACCCCATTGTATTCAGCCTAAGTTGTAACATGTTGTTTCCAAGAAACATGTACTTGAATTCATAAATTTGCATGCAACACTACAGAAAATTAAAATTATTATTTATTACATAAAGTTAACATAAAACCCAAACACAAAGACTGGCCGGAAAACGAATACAATTACGAGCTCTGTTTAAATTAGCATTCAGTGAAAAGAGGGGCTTCTATCCAACTTTTGCACACTACAAAGGAGAGAAAAACAAAACAGTGACAAAATTCAGTAACTAGTTCTCCCAGTTCATACAGTTTCTTCAAGAATTATTGTCAGGACTGGACACGGATCAGCTAATCCAGACAGCCACTGCTGATCAATACATAAAAATGAAAAGGCAAGAAGTCTTGAGTTAGTCACTGCTACCTGCAAAATTGTAGACATTTTGAAAAGAAATTGCATTATCTTAGCATTAGAACAGGTAGATTTCCTGGATGACAATCAGAGCTTCTTTTTCAGCTTAAAGCAAACACTGCTGTGCCCCCAAGACAAGCAGAATACTAAATTCACCCAACGTAATTCAAGATCCATTTTGTACCAAGATTTCATTTTTTACTGGATGACAGAGGTTTTTTTTTATGGCTTCTGGAGTGACTTTATATAACCAGAGATAACTTGGAGGCCCATGAGAAGTTTTAAAAATTAGGACTGATACCTGAATCAGAAAATAGTTCCAAACCTAGGCAGATTCTGTTACTGTTACAATACTGCCCCATAGCCCAAAAGAAAGATAAACTTTGCAGAATGAGTCGCGTCAGTAAGTTCAGGCTTGAGTACATTGGAGCTGGGAACGCTTCACTAGGAAGCTTTGTCTCTAGGCCCTTCCCAACTGAATTGGGCAGATGCTGCGTTACGTGAAGCAAGCTGCTGATCTCCACTGCCTGCTGCTGCCACAGCCAGAGAAGCAGGTTTCCTGCTACACGGGCTCTGCACCATCTACAGCTTCAGGAGATGAAACCTGCATCTTAAATTGTCCCTTCGGAAATGAGGAGGCAGGTGCTGCAAACAATGCTGTGCAGAAAGATGCACTTGATAATCAACACCGTTGCCAAGCTCACACATGCAGGAAGAACACCAAGGTAACCCAGTCTGCAAGCAACAGCGCTGTGAACTGCTGCAATAAAACCACCGCTCCAAGTTACAGCCTACAACTACCTGGCACAGTCAACAGCAGATGTTCTTTATCACCAATTACCTAACACCAGCTAGGAGTCCAGCTGAACCACTATCTTTCACCAGAAGGGAACTGACATTGTTTCCAAGTTTCTTTCCTTAATCAAGAAAATGTAATTCTAAGATTCTTGACTACCTCTGACACACTGTCCAGACAGTCCCTGACTCAAGCATTTGACTCTGGCCAGCAAATGAATAACTTTGTATCAAACAAAATAGCTGAAACCCAGGAAGAGGGTTAGACGAAAAAAAAAAAGGAAAAAAAGACTATTAAGGCAAGTGATACAAATAATCTAATCATAAGTAACTCAAAATTCAATGACTTTAAAGAGACTTTGCTTCCAGGACCCTTTGTATTAAAAATGGAACAGATTTTGGTAAAAATGTATTTTTACCAAATTTCTTCTAGGGTATTTGTCAGCAACTCTTCTTGGGTGGCCATCTACGGCTACCACATGCTAAAAACTAAAAAGAATAATGAAATCCAGCTCCCTGAAAGAATGCAAGATTCCATAATGCATCTGGAAAAAGGATGTGTAACATAAAATATGAAGTACATAAAACTCAGCAAAAAAGCAGATTTGCATGGTTCTTTTTATTCCTATGTTTTGAGATCTATTTCTTATGTACATATACAGGTATATAGAGAATATTTGCCACCTTTGCCAGCTGTTGTTTAATGCCAGGATTCTACATACAAGGTAAACAGGTACTTTTCACAATGAAATCTTGTTTAGTCTGATGAGGTGCACAATATAACCAGGCAGATGCTTAGCTCACTAAAGCTGTTTCTGGTCTTTAGTGCTGGGTATACTTTCAAGTTTTACTACTTTTAGTATTTTGTGATTTAAAGTCATCCAGGATTTGCTACAATTAACACCACAAACTTTGTCTAAAGCTGGGGTTTTTTTTTGTATTTTTCTTTTAATTTCCTTCTTTTTTGTTTCCTCTTGTCACCTCAAGCCTCAAAAGTACACTGAAACATCTCTGAATAGATCTCATTTGGAGATATGGTGTGTTTCACAACACGTAATCTTTTTCTTTTTCTTTTTTTTTTTTTTAATATGAAGCAAAGCATATTTAAAATTTCCAAGAATCAATAGTCAACACCAAGCATTTCTAAAGAAAAAGCATGCCATACTGAGTTCATAACACATCAGCTAAAGGAATAAATGGCAGCTTTCTTTATACACAAACCATAAATGAAACAGGATGAAGCATTAAAAAAAACCAAACACCTTCCCAACATACGAGACACTTATGCAGAGGATCTATTACTCCTGAGCAGGCTGGCAAGTATCCACTGGTGGTCAAGTAGGGGGAGAGGGAGAGGGAAAGAATTTTAAGCTGAAAACTCTAGCGACTGAAAAAGGCACAAAAGACAAAAATATCAAGGCATTTAGAAAAAAGAGAAAGCATTCTGAGAACTATGTGTTTTACTGATGAAAATGAGTATTTAGTGACAATAAAATTATTAAAGAAGCAACACAAAGTATTCAGGAGCAAATTTCTCCTCAACTAACAAAAAGACTGAAGACTTTAAATGGAAAAAACTGACTGAAGAAAATATGTTTATCTCTTTAGAACCTTATCTTCCAGTGCCTTCATATATGCAGTATATAAATCTGGACGTAGAAATCAATAGGAATTCACCCTAGAAAATAGTTCCTTTATTTTTATTAGTACTTATATTTCAATCTAATCTTTAAGACTGGCAAAATTATTCGTGGACAAGTATTTAATGTTGAGATTACAGGGTATGTTTCTTCTATAGGATTTGTAAAATACCTTCTCGTCTGTTTGAATGCAGGTACATCATCACAGAGGAGATAACGCATACCATTTACAAGAGAGATTTATAGTAAAATTTAGAGATACACAACAACCAATATCTCAATAGAATACTAACTTGGAACCCAGATGCAAGTTTTTCAAACTGTACATGTATTTTTAAAAAGATACAGCTTTTTAAAATGTTTATATATTGAAGCATTTTCATTAAGATCAAACTCTTATTAAAAACAGTAAAATTATAGCAGCAATATGAGAGAGTATCTAAGCCACATGAACATTAGTAATTAAAATAAAACCAAGTATGAAATACTACATTATTTGGATGCTTGCATTAGATAACAAAGACAGGTAACACACCAATTACTCATATCAAACCATCAGAGAATCCAGATTTGTTCACTGTATGAACAATACTGTTGTATAGCTCAATCAAAGTTACTGTTTTAGAGGAAGGGTTGAATGCTGACTTCCACCAATGCTGTTCTGGAGTGCTTCTTGGAGAATTCATTTGAATCTTTTAGTCCAAGTCCAACTATGATCCTTTTTGGATCTTTGCTGTAGGAACTAAGGATGCTTTTAAATATGGACTCCGTAAAACTAGGCTTATTTTATTTACACTATTCAAAGTTTATTCCTCCATCCAACAACAAAATGTGCAGGAGGATTTACTACATGCTATACAATGTAAAAATAGACTTTAAAAAGCCAGAACAATGTGAGTAAAACTGTACAATGTTTGTTCCCTGCTCCAGTTCATTGCACTATTAAGTTAAAACGGATGAGTTGTCATGCCCAGAAGACTTACTGTAGGATCAGAAAATCCATGCACATACAGAGGAGCTAAACGCATACTGGTTTAGGTATAGTGCCAAATGAAAAAATACTGAGTTATATCCATGGAAAGGTTCTCTTCATAGGAAGGAGCATGGTTATTCTGAAAAGCAGTCCTCTTCATGTAGGACACAGAACTGCAAAAGAAACACAAATACATCTTGATAAACATCAGTGAAGTTAGTCTGTATAAAAACGCATTGTGTATACTAAAATATGTAAATGTTGAATTCTACCCTATCAGTAACACAGTAAAATCTAGAAATCAATTGAAACTGGCAAATAAGATATCATTCTCTTCTCAAAAGATAATTAAGTGACACAACCCACTAACTTTAACTAATATTACACAGAAATGAGTTAACTAAAGGTCATGTCTTAAACAGTGCTTTTTGAACATTAAATAAAAGGCGACGCATGCAGTTGTATTTTACAAATATGCACTGACAATCTGAGACTCTAATTCTGGTGAGTGTACTAGAATCACACAGTGGGAAAATAAGACATGCCCTTCACGTGTTTCTCATTCCTGTTTCACATGGAATGCACAAACCTCAGAGCAATCCAGCTTTCAAACCAGTGCTAGCACAACACAAAAGCAAATAAAGAAGTCAGGTGTAACAATTAAACAAAAACTTTAAAGGCAAGAAAACAAATGTTCTTGTTATCTGAAATACTTGCACAATTAAAAAATAGAACAAGGAGTAAATTCTTGCTTTATTAAAACAAAAAACTGGGCTTTTTTAAGCCTTTACTAGAAGCTTGAAAGATCAGATATGAAATAGCAAAGCAAGCTGAAAGACAGAAAACAATTCTGCTTTCATGACATCTACATTCAGAAAAAAGTCTAAAAGAAAATAATACTGGACATATTTAATGGATTTTACTCAGTAGTATTGTATAGTATATTATTTTTAGCACTGTATTTTTATGTCACAATTACTGTTTAAGGACAATTGGGAAAGAACACAAAGCTTAGCAATAAATACATCTTAGAACAGCTTACTGTAAGGATACATCTCATTTCAAAGGCATGTATTTCAGCTATAAATACATTACTTATATATTGTGGTATATAACAGTTGTAAGAATGCCGCAATTATTTACACTTACATGTGTTCTTGAATTAAGGAAAAGAAACCAACTAACCTTGCAAGGGTACAGAGAATGACTTTTTCCAGTTTGTGTATCATACTGGTAGTAAGTTATATTCAAAAATTACCCCAGTACATGAAGTTAGATCTTCAAACTTTGTAAAAACTGGAAATAAAAACTAACAATCTTGAAATAATGTGTCTAAATGTGATACTAGACAACTTATCCCTAATATTTTTATTCTGTGTGTATCTACAGGCTAACATTTCTTATATTTCATCAATTTGCTCCATACGTAGCTAAGTTAAGGAACTCTTGCTTCCAGCAGATTTCCTCAGATACTCCTCCTTAACCTCACAACAACGAAACTATGTAATTTCCCTTCCCACTGTGCCTTCCTCAGCTTCTACTTTAAGTTTGCTAGGAACTCCATCGTATTGTTCCTCTGTCCTCATGCCCCCAAACCGACAGGAGCTACTGTAAGCGCATTCACCAGTACATAAACACATAAAAGCTACCTGTCCAACTGGATGGTGGCTTTTAAAAGCTGATAGCCTTCAGCTCAATAGAAACAGTCGTTTCAGTCCTTCTCCTACATAGTCAGTTCCCTACAGTATTTGTGGAACGCAGTTATTCCTGCAACTCTTCTTTCTGTCTTGTAGGGTTGAAACTGGCAATTATTGTTTGTGAGGCTCAAGAGACACACAACATGACAGCACAGAGGCATTTTCTTCAGAAAATAACCTAAACTTGCATACTTCAAGGATTACAGATGCTACTACTTGTTGCATTCTTGTACTTGGCAAATAAATCATAATGCAGAAAGTCATCATGTTACACGTTCAAGAATAAAGAGTGAAAGCTTCTGTAAAAAAAAAAATTAAAATTCAATGGGTATAGTCAATACAAACATGCCTTCATCTAAGGATACGGTAGCTCTTCTTGTTGCGACACCAAAAACCAATGCAATCAATGCAACCAATTGCTTTACTGCTTAACTTGTGCACGAGAAACTTCGCTGCTTACTTGCTTGTTTAGGTCTTCCAGTGGAAACATAAAGTTTTCAAAGCACATTGTATTTGTTCAGCCATCAAAAAAGATGAGTAGAAAGATGAGCACCAACAGCATTTAAATACAGTGAGCTTTCTAAGCTGCCAGCTTCAGTCCAAAAGTGATCAAAGATCAAGTATTCAAAGTGTTGGCTTGGTATTTCTTTCCCTCTCAGCAAATGCATCCCCCATCCTTCTCCCAGTCTCAGTTTCTATTTCATGGAATCACAGTATCATTTAAGTTGGAAAAGACCCTTAAGATCCTTGAGCCCAACCATTAACCTAGCACTGCCAAGTCCACCACTAAACCATTCCCTAAGGGCCACCATCTATACATCTTTTAAATACCTCCAGGGATGGTGACTCAAACACTTCCCTGGGCAGCCGTTCCAATGCTCGATAACCCTTTCTGCAAACAATTTTTTCCTAATATACAACCTAACCTCCCCTGGCACAACTTGAGGCTGTTTCCTCTTGCCCTATCACTTGTTACTTGGGAAAAGAGACCAACATCCATGATCCCTAGTGATAAAATATAATAACAATATTAATATATTAAAAATATATTCAGAAAAATACAAGCACAATTGCAAATGTTTTTCAATTTCATGTTGCCATCTATTTTAATTCTAAAACTATAAAATAGAGTATGAATCACACGCTGGTGGGAGAACAACTGCAACATACTTGCAAAGCAAATCGCTAAGTCTCTTTCATTACTATGAACTTCAGGACAGAAACGGTCACTGAAAAGTAAAAAGAAACAAAACTCCACAGAAGGAAAAAAAATTCCTTGAAAATAATTTAGGTTGCATCAGAGTAACACAAATAAGAGAAAGTAAGTTACTATATTGTACAAGACTCTACATGGAATATGTACATAGTCTGGCTTTGGGATACTTATCTCTGAGGAGGTACTACTCCCTATGGAATAGATCGAGGGGAGAGCTAACTGATCACTGGAAAGAGGGACTTAAGCATGAGGACAAAATGATGGTATTTTTAACATTTTGGGGGACACAAGGGGGCGGTAGAAATTGGGAAAAGAGAATGTTTTAAAGGAGCAAACACTGGAAATAATTTAAAAACTAATAATCCTATTCAGAAATGCATACAGAGTTTTCTTTTTTCCTAACATGAAACGCACTGAGTTCCACTGGCCTTTTTTGCTTTTTAATTATACTGCATTACACATCCCTTATTCTGAGGATTTCTACTTCCAGCATTTCCAAAGCATTAGCTGGTTATGAAAAAGAGTGCAAGAATGATCCATGGTAACATAGAAGGTCAACAGCAGTTCTGGGTGCAGAACTCTCTTTCGTTCTAGTCCATGCTCCAGCTCTTGGCCAAACTGTCTTGTCAAAACACATTTACTCGATCATTATTAAATGAAGATATCAAGTATTAGACAACACACACAGCGGGGGTCTGTGTGTGTCTTCCTACATGATCCAAATTTAGTCTTTCACAGATTTCAGAATTATTTTGGCATTTAGTTCAAGATATTCAAGATGGTGACACTTCTACAAAACACCAGGAAATTCAGGGAAAATACAAACTTATTTCATTGTCTTTTTGTTTTTATCAGAACATCAGTGAATTTGGCAAGACTTCTTGTTAAATCAACACCTACTGCTCAATCTTATGGTTCCATTAACTTTTCCAGGTTCACATTATTCTTCTCTTATTTGTCCCATTACATTTTTCCAACAATACTGTAGCAATCATTAGAATAAATTTTGTCCTGATATTTTTAATTCAGCTCTTGATTCTAAACAATCTAAGTAACTTTTCAGCGTCAACCAACAATATCTGGGCAAGTTTCTTACTAAGTCTGTGGACAGCCATAATGCCCGTGCAGGAATGGCATGCTCTAATTTTTTAAATACCATAGAATAAAAAGACAGGGCTGTTTTAAAAAAACAGTTAAGGACTTACTGTAAGTTTTTTTTTTTTCCTTTGCTGTGTAAAATGGAATACAGAGCTAGAAAGAAGGTTTTACCTGTGCTGACAAACCTCACACTAACTGGATTTACCGTAAAGCTATACATATCCTATTGTCACATATAATTTACTGCCTGCTTTTTTGTTGTACGATTGGAAAAAATGATCCTCAAAGGAACAAGAGGTTAACAGATTTTAACAGAACTAAGTATGGTGATATAATTCACACATTTCAGAATGTCATTTCTTGATTAAAGCTTAATAAAAAGAAATGGCATTCATTCGGTGTAAGGCAATAGCTGGATCATAGAGTAAACAGATGTAAAATGAATACAATTATCACTATACTATAATGGATGATTATTAACGGGTCCAGAACTTGTTACCTTCCTGCTTGTTTTGGAAAATAAATTCAAACCTCTAAATCCTCATAATAATTTTTACCTTGCCAAGACATTTTTCACCTTCCAGTGAAGAGAGCAGACTCTTCAAAAAGTAGGTCACTCTTTTTATGTTGAAATTCAGCGAGTAGGTTGGCATTTCTGATACAAAAGGTGAGCTGAAAGTTTCTCTAAGTCATTGTATAAAATCATCTAATCTCCCTTTAAACAAGCTTTAAAAATAATTTCCAGACAATGGACAGGAGGCTGGGAGTATTTTGTGCCATGTATGCAGCCGCACTGAGGCTTCTGGCCAGAGGTTTTAGTGGCAGAAAAAGAAGACAAACAGATTCCACCTTCAGAAACAAGAGGAAGACTCTGCCTGTTCCACAGGATAAATCTACACTATAACGTAGGGCTGTTAGCTGAGCTATAAATATTTAACATAATCTAAACATAGCAATATGAAGCTTAGTTAAGGCTACATTGAAAGGAAGAGTAAAGTTTTGTGCTCACTAGTTTGTATGACTGCTTACTGTTTTGCAATCAGGCCCACAGAAGATTGAGAAAGGCTTAGCTCTGTTCAGTAATGGAACTGCGGTAGCTGAGGTGACATCACCTTTTCCTATTAGCATGAGCGATGCGAGTGATCACTTTTCATACTCCCATAATTTGTGTTTTACAATTCAGAGAGAACAGTGCTTGTATATGAAGACCTGTTTGATCCAACACATTCAATGTGTGCATGATGTTTTTGTAATTGTTGTATCTAGCTGGTAGAACACCCCTGCTGATTTTAAAGTCACAAGCATGCAGAGGTAGGAGGGAACCTCAGTATCAAGCTTCCTAGATCATGCTGTCATACGTTCAGCTAGTCTGCTTTTATAAGCCTTCTATGCAGAAGATTTCTCCATTTCTCTGGGCAGCCAGTTACTTCTCAGCATCCTAGTAATCTGACAGCTTTTCTGAACAGCTACGTTTAAAAATAAGAGCAGACTTGTAAACAGCACTCTTTATTCCAATCAGTTTCTACCAGATGTATGATGATGAAAAGCAAACAGCTTTATTGACAACAGTTCATCATCTTGGGTCAAAGATTCTGCTTTACAAAACTAAAGTTTAGTGCCATCACCATTAAAAAAACCTTCATCTTGAGCCTAAATGGCTCTCAGCTCATAAGCAAATACATCTGTGTAATGTAAGGAGGATTTTCAGAAAGGGTAAGTAAACAACGGAGCAATCAAAGGAATCAATTGAAAGGATCTCTACATTCTTATTGTATGTGGTAGTTCTGCAACCCTACACAAAACTTAGAAATTACCTTTTTCCAACAGAAACTCAGTCAGAGCTTCTGGAATACCACAAGGTGCACTCTTCAGATTTTCTGAAGCAATAGCACACTAAATTTCATCCACATTTTTAACCTGAAACTACTTTCAAATCTCTGCAAGATGAGTCATTAGAAGTCTGCTAAGAAATACAAATACCTTTAAAAATCATACGGAGCGAGTTAAGTCAAAGGATTGTATTTGAAAAAATCATGAGACTTGGAAAGCATGACACCAAAAGAAGAGAAAAAGTTTGCAGCATATGAACATGAAGCAGAACATAATACATATTTGGCTGGCAAATAAAAAGGCATCCATTATCCTTTTGCATACCTGTTTGTTCAGATCTCGGGCGTTTGATACATATGCTAAACTTTTAACACTAAAGAAGGACCATTTATATGTCAAGAATTAAAGTACGAATACAATCATTAGTAAATCTAGGCAAAAATGAAATCAGCAAAAAAATATTTAGAACTAATTTAACAACCTAGAAACTACCTAGAGCAACTCCTTAAAGCTAAAGACAGCAGTGATTTCCAATGTTTGACATTCTATTAATATAATTAATGTGTAGACCTGGAAAATAAATGATTAGTACACAAACCTTTTAAAAAAATGTGAAGAAGGTGTAACAAGTAAACGCAAAATAAATAATTTTTACTATTGATCAAAAGGTAACACTTCTAAAATGAAACTATAAGCATTTCTTCTAGCAAATGTATTATTACCAAAGCAGTTTGAATTCAGATTCTGAAAAACATGTAAAACACAAGTTCTTAACTAAACCCATCTAACTTTGTAAGCCAGACTGCTTTGCTCCTGCTGATGTCCTTCAGCTATTTGAATATACACCACATACACTGTATTATACCATCACAAACAAACAAACAACATTTTATTTATGAACTATGTGCTCAGAAACCCCGGACAAATATAATAGCATATAAGTGAGAGCCGTGTTTGATATAAGAGCTACATAATTCATGAATGCTGTAGGACTACTCTTTTCAAATATACATGTATGTACATTAAGCTAATTTAGAATAAAAAAATCCCTGCTAATAAACATACTCACCCTTTAAAATATAGTCTGTTAACAAGCTTGGCACTTTCTCACTATCCTCTTTCATGGCATGCAGGACTGAAGTATAAAAAAAAACACAAAACAAAACAAAAAACAAACAGATATTTAGTCATATATTAAAGACAACCCTCAAAAAAAAATACCATGCAGCTGTTTCAACTACTCATAGGGATACTACTACAAGGTTAGTAAGAAAAATCTTAACTGGAATACGAGAAGATAAAAAGAGACACATCATATCTCACCTTTCACTTACATAATTCTCACTGAACTCTGCAGTAGATGGATGCAAGAGACCCATTTTACGTGGTTAATTTATTATAATAATCATCAGTCATAACAAAAAAGGTACCTCTTCCCTATTAAAAAAAAAAAATCTCTTTCCAAAAGAAAGTCATCACATCCAGCACTAAAATGCCCTAAAAACTGCTGGAGAGTTGGCGATCTTAGGTAAAAAAGTATGCTCCATTACTTAATTTATTTCCTTGCTCTTCATCCTGAATGATAGAATAATGTCAGTTTTCTCAAGAAACACTACTGCGAATGATCTGATGAAAACGTGGCATTTTTCTCCCTGAAATGCTGAACGTTACCAGCTGCACTTAGAAAAATCTTAAATACAGAACTGAATTTGGAATTAACTTTGAATAATGCCAAAACGCCACTTTTGTGACTTGTATCAAGTCAAAATTGCCCATCCTTACCCTCAACTTGACATATATAAGCTTGTCTCTTACTTCATAAACAAAACCAAAGACAAGCCTTTATGAAGTGCTCTGGACACAACTGAAAGAATCCGAAGTACAGAATTATACTGAATAGCGATATTTCATAAGCTCCAAATTCCTCATATGAGACTCTGAACTCGTAATATAAGTGTTTTATTTCAATTTCTTTGTTCAAGTAAGATACTAATGTTCATAACTACGGAATAATACACAGTTTTGAAAGAAAAACCAACCAAACCACCCCGAACACCCGCTTTACCATCTGCCTTAACAGCACAGAGAGCGAGTCAGAAATCTGCAACTGAGTCATGGGATCAATTTCCAATTAGCCCACAGAAGGCCATGCTGTTAATACTCTCTACAGTGCATTTGTTTAAGACATTTTATTAATAAACCATCAACAACACAAAACGTTTTCAGGAGGCTTTAATCTCTCTCTGCTTAATATTGAGTTTTTGAGAATATTATGAGTTAATAATATGTTAATAATACAATATATATAATATATAATAATATTAATAATATATTATTGAGAATATTATGAGTGAAATTTAAATATGGCAAGAGGATAAAATTTCTCTGCAATTCTCTAAAATGAAAAATACATTTGTCACAGAATAAGTATAAATTACTAGCTATGGGTGCCTACTGCAGAAAAATAAAGGGAATTTATTTCCTGTTAAAACATTGAATTTACTCCAGAATTTGTAGAATATTTATTTTCTCTTTCTAGGAAACAATCAGTAAGTCTTCTACCATCCCTCAGCCACCTGTGGAATCACAGACCTGTGCTGATGGAAAGTACCTTAGGACATACTTAGATCCAAAGCCCTGCACTCAGATCTGATCAAATACATTGACGCAAACTACCATCTATTTTTAAACTGTTCCTATAAACCTCAAATGAAGGAGATGCCATTGACTCCCAGAGATGCTCTGTTGTATTTAACCACCTTGGTAATTAATTTTTTAAAAATACAACCTTGTTTTTCTTGTAAAATAGAATAAAAAACCCCAGAGGACTTAAAACTTACAAATAATTTTGAGGATCTGGCCTAAAAAGATATGAAGAAAGGGGAATTCAAAGCACTGTCAAAACTCTGTTTGGTTTATATTTCCTTATTATTAAAATTAATTAACAAAAAAAACCCCAACAAACCTCAGAGATGCAGGCTATTTTAAAGTTAATCAAGTGCAATCACCACAGAATTACAGGATCATAGAATGGTTCGGGTTGGAAGGAACCTTAAAGATCATCTAGTTCCAACCCCTCTGCCATGGGCAGGGACACCCTCCACTACACCAGGTTGCTCAAAGCCTCATCCAACCTGGCCTTGAACACTTCCAGAGACGGGGCAACCATGACTTCTCTGGGCAACCTGTTCCAGTGCCTCACCACCCCCAGAGTGAGGAATTTCTTCCTTAGATCTAATCTAAATCCACCCTCTTTCAGTTTAAATCCATTGCGTCCCTTGTTCTATCACTACACACTCTTGCAAAAACTCCCTCAACATCCAAATTGTCCTGACATCCATTCCAATTTTTGAAAGTCATTACAATAACCTCAATAAAGCACAGCAAGTTTAAACACAGGGGTATGTCATATACTGTAGGGAGTATTGCCAACTTGCATGACATATGCAGTATTTCCATAAGGCCCACCTGTTGAAATCATGTGAGAACATTTACTTTCTGATATGTGCAGGTTTCAGAGAAAAGCTACAAAACAAATATACCATCAAGGCTCAGAAAACAAGTGAAAACTGGCCAAAACGCACAGTTAGAAATCATGCAACTTTTCAAACATGCCATAGGGTAAGGGGGAAGAGATAACCGGATGATTCATTGGTTTTGAGCCACCACAGTTGGAAACATAAAGAGGAAAGCATCAGTGGGGGAACTTCATATACTCACTTTTGGTTAACGTTTGAAGATCTTCAACAGATGGGGGTCCATTTTTCTTCTCGTAAGGAATGACGGTTGTTAAGTACTGTCAAATGAACAACAGAGTTATGTCACTTTCATGCAATTTATGTTGCTTGCATTTTATTTTGCAAAAATTGTAGCAATTGAAATTGCTTGCCACAAATAAAAGCTTTTCAAAAGATCGTATTTCACAAGAGATTAAGATTCTACCTTTCCTATCCAAAAGCTTTTATCACGGAAGCCAGCTTCTATTTAAAAAAAAAAAAACAAAACACGTGACCATTTTAGAAGTCATGCAGCTAAACACTAAAAAAAAAAAGTATTTTAAAAATGTGAGCTGCTTACAGTAAAAAGTTTCTCCGTTAGGTTTCTTCCTCAGAGCCTAGGCATACCCATAGTAAAACCTCCCTCCAAAAGTCAACCAGAAGTCCTTCACGTATTTAAAGTACTTCTTACAATGAAATAAAAGCTAGAAGAAAACTTCCACACCACCTCCCCTCAAAAAACACTATAAATACACATGAACAATTTTCAAACTTATAATTTATTTTTTTTTTAAAAAGTATAAATATCATGTATGTGTCACTAGTTGTATCAAAAAAACAGAAAGTAATTCTTTGTTTCCAGGAAGTACATTAAAAAATTAAATCTTTCCAGATAAAATTGATGTTGCCTTCAAACAATTTGGGAAACTGGTAACAGTCAGCTTTTTAAAAGATTCTAGAGCACAAATTATACAGGCTGTAGGGGCACCTTAAATAAGGTGTTCAGATTTGTACAAGTGTGCTTACAAGTATTTGGGAAAATTAAAAAAATAGTAAGAAAAAAATCTTCAAACTCGGCATATGCTGTGTTTGAACAACCTCAAAACAGCTGTAGGATTTTCTCAGTTGCTAGTTAACTCGTACTAAGAATGTGAAACGTTTCAAGGATTTTGACAGGTCAAAGAGCATCGCCCAGTCCCAGCTCTGAAGGTGACCTATAGTCCTCTGTACAAAGAAAATTAGGCTGCCCTACAGTTAGGTGAAAATGAAAATAGACAACTTTCGCCTTGTGATGCTACACACTTCCAACCAAAAGGAACAAAGCAAACCTAATTAAACATAAAAGAACACTATTTGGATTTTGATTTAAATTCTCAGTTTTAATAGTCAAACGTGCTAACAGCTTGTTTCAAATCAACTCCACTTTTGTTCTATTTACTCTTTACTGAAATCTTTTATTCTTGTCAGCTTTAAAAAAAAAAAGGCAAAAATTTTCTTAAATCTTTCAGGATTTTCACACCTGCAGTGCAACCAAGATTTGTTTTCAAATTCTTGAAGCAACCCTGTTGCTCTTTTATTAAATGCATTTAGGCTACATCTTGACTTTGCAGCCTATCTGAATGCATATTCTTCTTAAAGAGGTCAGCATTTCAAAACTACTGAAATCACTGGAATTTTCCCTAATGAAAAAGCTTCCCGAAATCTCCCTCAATTCAATTTTTAAGAATTTAACAGGAACTTTATTCTGGGTTAAGAGCTACAAGGCAGCAGGCAAAGCAACCCTCCATCTCTCGTTCAACTTGAGATGTGCGGTTCTCCACGTAACAATCAGAAAACATGTTATAGACAAGGTCTTCCCCTCTCCTAGTAGCAGCACTTCAGCAAGAGTCAAGCTTAACTCAGACTTTGCAGAAGATTTAGTGCTGCCAAACGCAGCTGCAACCGTTGCCATGCTCAGGGCAGGATCACGCACCTGATGTCCAACTGTACCCTCAGCCTAAAAGCCAGACGGATCCAGTTCTGTGTAACTCAAGCGAACCAGTTGCACAGGATGTACCAACACCTCACCAAGACCTTATGCAAACCCAGAGTGCTCTTCTCCACCTCCCTATTCCTTTTGCACTTTCCCACATCCACTTCGCAGAGCAGAGGAAAGGATGTGATGCTTCTCAGGAAACAGGCAAATTTCAGTTTCTTTTCCAGCAGACATAACCAACAGGTATCATTAGAGATTTGCACTCTTACTAAAATTACCACAATCAATAGCTAGATATAAGGCTGTTAAATCTGCAAATGTCAGAGATGAAAGTTACATCTACTAACTCAGAAATCAGATCTCAGGCTGTCATTCCAGCCTTCAGAACTAAGTGGCATTCTACCCTTTATGTAGACAATAAATCACTAGGACATGTTTCACTTGACCAAATACCAATAATCCCTGTTCTCCTTCTCCTGTGAACTCCACCTTCCAGTTTTCCTTTATAACAACATTAATTAGGAAAAAAAAAAAAAAATTCTTTCCTAGTTTCCAGAAATCATCTTGTTTTTCTCACCAGTACTTTGCAGCTGAACCAATAAATCTCTATAATGGCACTATTAAAACTTATCCCCTGAATTGCTGTATGAAGCATAACGTATTATGAAAAGGAAATGACTAACATGTAGCTTACTGACACGGGCAAATGTTAAGTCTACTGCAACCTCTAAATTGCTGAAACGGATCTGACAATCTGATAAGCAGCAATTACCACTGCAATTTGCAATCACTCGTAAAAAGTGTTCGACATGCCTAAAAAGCAAAATGAAGATGACTATTTTTGAAATTTCTTCTGGAAACATGATCACAGAGTGAGCTACCAATATTTTAATGGCTTTTATGGAGTTGGTAGCATTTTCTTCCAATTGCATTATCAGATGGGAACAGGTAGTTTCCAATCAAAGTTTCTCTTTAAACGCTGAAAAATTCCAAGTCATCTGCACTTATGTCTCACAAAGAATTAAATTTTAAAAAGTACCTACTATCAGAACACTACTACTCAAAAAATAGTAAAAGTGGTAAATACCATTAAAGACTGAAAAGCGTTCTGATATAACGGCACGAGCTTGTCATAAACTTTATGCTGTGAATTTATGTGTATGAACTTCCACTTTCAAAGGGTACACAAAAAATTGTCCGTCCTTGGATTTTTTTTGGAGCACAACTCCAGATTGGTAACTAACTCTTCCCTGCTAGCAGAAAACACCGTAACATGAGTTTATAATAACAATATACCCTGAAAAAACACTTCTATTTTCTGAGAGCAGCACTAAGCAACTGACCATCTGATACTTTTTTTACTTTGTAACGTGCTGCAATAAGCAGATGACACCAGTATTTTAAAAGCAGGGCCAGGGTTTGGTAATGTGACGAAGCCAAACAAACAAAAAAGCCCCAAACAAAAGAACAAGCCATAGAAAAATGGATTTCCAGGACTAAATCAGAAAACAGCTGGTATCCTTCCTACCTTTCTCCCTATTTTTTAAGTTTTTGTTATTTCCATGACTGACTTTAGGATACAGGAAGGCAAAAAAAAAATCTAACTCTGCTGACAAGGATATAGGGTAAGATAAATCAGGGGAAAAGTATGATCAATAGGAAGAACAACATTAGTAAACTAACTCAAAAAATTACTGGAAGAGTTATCCAACCAGTGTTATTGTTAAGACATGATTATGCTACTTACGTCTGGAAAGTTAGGAGACAGTCGAAGAAGAAAAGGTATACTTGAATAGACATATGCATATACAAGAAGTTTTTTAATCAAAAGTACGAAGGCCTGGTACAGCTAAATATGTTTACTTTATGAAAATACATGATATTTAAAATAGCTAAAGATACACGTAAACAGCTGTATTTTATTATTAAACGGTAAAGACAGCAAAGAAAAAAAAAAAACAGCACTGCTATTACTTTACCAGTATTGAGATGATGTAGAGTGATAAACACCTCTGTTAGGTAATCAATATGCATGTGTTCAAGATCCCCAAAGCCTGGGACAAATAGCTGGATGCATCTATTCATGAACTCTCATACATACACCTTTCTTGAGAAAGAGGGTAAGTCTATGTTTTCTGACCTCATGATTCAGGAATGACTTGAGAGGAGTTGTTTCACCTCCTGAATTCCTCTGCAGGATACTCCAGTCATCTTCCAGACAAGAGTCTAATCAGCCATGACTTCTAAACTACCAGGCAGTTTACTGCCTCAATGGACTTCTCATTGAGGGGTGGTGGTGGAATCTAACACACTCTGACATAACGGCATAAACTACAATGAGTGGGTATGTATTAAATAACATGAAATACCAATATTTTGTGATTTGTGCCCAAAGCCTAAACAATAGCATAAGTATTAACACTTTACCAAAATATGGAATGCATTTATAAAATACATACTACAGTTCTCAAACAAACCATCAAGTATGACTTTGAAATAAAGCGTAAGAATCTTGCTTCTAAGGTATATGTAACATCCACAGCGATACCCACTGAGGCTGAGTCTCTGTGCTGTGTACTTCAACATTTAAATAGTCAACGAAAAGACACAAACTTGTATATAGCTGAGTGTTTAGAGCTGTTGAGGAGAGAAAGAGTCTGTAGGCTGACCAGAGTCCTGAAGCAAGGAAAGAGTACAAGCTTCTACACGTTTTCCTGTCTCAGCATTTAACTACTATCAATTTTCAAGATCTCAGCTCCCACTGAAAGTGCAGGCAAAGAACAAGGAAAAGAGGGAATAGAGCCCAGCACCTGTTTCTCTCCACCTGAGTTTCCAAACGTGTGGCGGAAGCCATTCTGTATGACATTTGAGATCCCTTCCATGCTGAAGCGCTAAAAGTAGTGAAAACATAGCAGAAAGAAAAAAAGGGACAGAAAAGTTCAGAAGACTATTAATCAGCATTTATCAAGACCATAAAAGATGAATGACAAAGACAAGCTCTAAGATGTATTTCAGCACATTTTTTTTCTTTCACCTACTTAATTTTTGTAATTAAAAAGCAAGCAGTATATCTACATCAAAATTTAATTAAACAAGATCTTCACACTGCAAACCCAACAATTGAGATTTGCCTTTTAAGGCTGTTTCATTTTGAAACGTAAAAGTTGTATTTTTGAAAGTTCAGTTCACAGTACAATCTCCTTTAAAATTCATGTTTGAGCAATACACTTTTACAGACACTGATGATACCAATTTTTCAGATTTTAAGCACCTACTAGAACCACTGTTCAGAGGTAATAATTTTCAGCTCCACTTCTTTAAAACATTTTATGCTTTCATGCTTCCTTTTCCACAACTGAAGCAACAATTTGCATTCCCCATTTCTTTTGTAATATGATAAAACATATACAATTAGTTAATAACACATCCATATTAATTTCAAGCTCTTTTACAAGGAATCAGGCAATGCATGTACAGAATAATTAATACATAATCAACCACAGGTTTTTTTCTTGAACTTTGTAATCCTTTTTGCTTGCTGGAGAAGACAAGTTAAAAAAAAAATAATCAAAACAATTTTGATGTTTAGCATGAGATATAAAAATCAGCAACTGACAAGAACATGAAGAAACTGTCAAGCTGTTGACAGGGCAGTACAATGCGCACACCTCAGCATACTTATTTGACTGTAGTTATTTATGGGAGGGGGAATAAAATGTGCTGGAATACAGTATTCATTTACTTTCTAAAGCACAATGAGGTCAGTAAATAGACACAGATGCTGCCAAAGCCATCTTAACTCTTTTAAGATATGCTACTTAAAGTAACTGGTATCTTCAAGCCCTGACTATTTTTAATTATGTCCCAGTTTGCCCTTGTGAGAGAGATGAAAGTTTTAGAAGTCTATGAAAGTGATTTACCCAAAGACTGTATTAAGGACAAAGAATTAAAACCTCTATTTATTAAAATTCAATTATAGTACCTACAGGATAATTGATTTTCTCATGGTATGAAAATTTAACTCTACTTCCAATCTTTGTATTTAAACGAGACTTCACTATAATTTTAGTTAATAAAATTATTAATTTATACATTATTTATTAGCAGAAACTCACTCCTCACAAAGTTATTTGAACATACTATCTGCACATTCTCAGCAGTTCCTTAAAAAAAAAATAAATAGCAAAATCTATTTTCAAAGGAACCACACATGCAACCTACAATCTTATTTGGGAGCTAATTTGTTCAGTCCCTCTCAGAATCAATCTGACACATCTACATCTTGAAGCAACCAAATACAAAACCAGCTTATATTGAGACCACATACAGTTACACTGAAAGCATCATTCAACTCTCTAAACTTGAAACTAACCAGAATAGCTTAGGAATCACTTGACTCAAGTTTCAAAACCAAATAATTATTTTTCTTTCTAGTTAGAATACCACTTTTTGTTTTTCTTATGACTGAGAACCAAAAAGGAGTACATTTGAACTTTTCACTGTGCCCTTGGCAAAGGGATGACAATTTCGTATTGTTTTCCAGACATCTTAGAGTTCCATTAAAACTTAGCTATACACACAAAAGATGTCTTTTCATTAGATGGAAAAGATCAGAACTCTATGAAGTTGTATCGCAGGTATCTTATTCTTCTAAGTTTAGAAATAGATTCTGAAGAATTTATGTTTCATTACAAATGTTTATTCCTTATGCTTGAAAAACAAACCCAAAAGCCTTCTGATGTCGAACTGAAGCATTCCTTCTGGGACTTAACCAAGATCTTCCATACATTAACCACATTTTCCACATCCTATAAAAGACGCTTAGAAACTCTCTGATATCCCACTTAAGTAATTTAAAATTACACTAGACAGATAAGAAAGAAAAAAAAATCAAATTGACAAGATAATAAGCTAATTTATTTCATTCTGTGCCTCCTATAATTCAAAGTCTGTTTGAAAGTAATTTTTCCTTTTGTTGCTATGTTCTGTGAAGAATAAACCAAATTACCTTCTCCCTGTTACAGCTGCACTACACTTTGGCCTCACCCTCATCTCTCCTTGGACGTAGTAACTGCCACAGGTTTCAAAAGATCGAGGGTAGAGTTTTACTGTTTTCCTACCTAAAAACCAACATGATCAGTAAATATCTGTACAACCACACCAACAATAATACTGAATTTCCTGCACGACTAACAGTGGCACACACATACAGAATTCACACAGTGATTCTGAACAGATAAATGAGTTTGCCTACTGACAATAGAACACACAGCAGTACATCCGAAGACAGAATTTTTTGCAAGAAAGGTATGCTGATTACAGGCTAATTTGCAAACAGTAAAATATCTTTTTTGAGTAGCACAAGAGTACAATGTTACATGACCTTGTGAAAAACACAATCTCAATAGGAAGTACCTAAGCCTCGTCTGCAAATGAAGGCATGGAAACACATGTACCAGGTATCTTAATATCATCTAGGACTACTAGCTCCCATAGGGAAAAAACAAAAACTATTTTGAATGTATAAATAGTTACAAAAATTTTCTTACTGTTCCAGGCATATGACCTCTTTCTTGTTTGCCATTCTGAGGACTACCATTTTTCAGCTTCTTTTTCTTCTTCGCTGTTTCTTTGTGTTCTCTCTGTTTGTTTTGTACTTCGATGAGGACAGAAATGAAGCTGTTTTTCACTTCCTTCTCAAACTCCAACTCATCTCGTAGAGCCAACTGCTGTACCAGTTCCTCAGAATAATCTTTAATAGCAGTCTCAATTTCTTCTAGCAGTTCATTTAACTCGGCAACTGACAATCTTTTCACTCCTATAAATAGTTCATATAAAAAGTAATCTGTCAAGATTTTAAGTGTGAGAATATTTGTGGGAATTACAACAAAAAAGTACTCTGAAATTTACAATACTCCTAAAGGAATAAACACATCACAGAGGCAAAGAGATTAGCAGCAAGAAGATGGTTAAACTTTCTTATTTTTGAGAAATCTGAGATAATCTGCAAATACAAAGAGCATGCTGGAGTTAAGGAAGCTGAAGTAAGCCCTAAACTTCTAATACTGACTCTTCTGCTAACTATTACTTTCCACCTACACTTACTGCTCCAAGTAAGAGATCTCCATATATATATTCCAACATGACAATCAACACTGGCATTTCTGGAATCCTCGGATTTTTCACCTACAGTAATACAGAAACTATACTCTATGAGCAAGGAAACCTTCTTGGTGATATTGCTGAGGTATGCATGCATATCAGTAAAAGTTTGCACCAAGCTTTTATGATAATATTTTTAAATACATTTAGTAGAAAAATCAACAATGTCTTCCAAATTTTCTTTGTCTGGGAATTGTAGTCAAAAGCATGGCCTTGTATTGCCTGAAACAAGGACCTACATCAAAATTAGCTGACAGGCTCATTTCAAGCAAAAATAAGCATTAATAGTTCTGAGAAAGCACGAGACTGAATTGGTCAAAGCTGAATCAGAAGCCTGTAAAATGTCAGTTTGGAAATTAAAAGAACCTCTCCAGGTTTGCATTTTAAAGGTACTATTAGGTCATGTGTTACAGACAATGAAGTTATGACCAAGAAGAATGTTTTGAGACTTGCTTAGGTTAAAAGTCCCCATTTTTAAAAAGGGAAAAAAAGAAGGCCCAGGGAACTACAGGCCAGTCAGTCTCACCTCTGTGCCCGGCAAGATCATGGAGCAGATCCTCCTGGCGACTATGCTGAGGCACACAGAAAATAAGGAGGTGATTGGTGACAGCCAAAGGGCAAATCCTGCCTGACTAATTTGGTGGCCTTCTATGATGAGGTTACAGCATTGATGGATAGGGGAAGAGCAACTGACATTGTCTACCTGGACTTATCCAAAGCATTTGATACTGTCCCACACGACATCCTGTCTCTAAACTGGAAAGATAAGCTTTTGATGGATGGACCACTCGGTGGATAAGGAATTGGCTGGATGGTCGCATTCAACGAGTTGTGGTCAACGGTTCAACGTCCAAGTGGAGGCCAGTGACGAGTGGTGTTCCTCAGGAGTCACTACTGGGGCCACTGCTATTTGACATCTTTGTTGGTGACGTGGACAGCGGGATCGAGTGCACCCTCAGCAAGTTTGCAGATAACACCAAGTTGTGTGGTGCTGTGGACACGCTGGAGGAAAGGGATGCCGTCCAGAGGGACCTTGACAGGCTGGAGAGGTGGGCCTGTGAGAACCTCATGAAGTTCAACAAGGCCAAGTGCAAAGTCCTGCACGTGGTTCAGGGTAATCCCAAGCACAAGTACAGACTGGGCGGAGAATGGATTGAGAGCAGCCCTGAGGAAAAGGAAGCCGTCCTCGAGGAACATGCTTACTTTTCATAGAATCATAGAATGGTTTGGG